CCACCGACCAAACTGTGCAGCTCTGCAACTGCATACTGGCCCATCCTCACCCTTCTGCCACCAACCCTCACCTCCTTGTACCCCCAATATGTTTTTCCCAATAAAAAAATATAAAAAAAATATTGCATGGAAATAAATAAAGCCTCTCTGGATATAGTATTCAGAACTTTGTTACCCAGCACTATCAATACCGTACAACAGCTCATGGAGTGGGAAGTTATTCCAATTAAAGGTCATGGGAATTTAAGTAGGTGAAATGCAATTACCAATTAATTCCTTCTAATGAGTATGACCCAGTTTCTCTGGTAGTTTATACCTATTGTACGTATTTTTCTGAAAGATGTTTACACACAAATTTCTTTAGGTTGCCGAGCACTTCATTTGGTATGCAGTTGGATGTTTCCTGAGTGAACATTAAAGGATGTATACTGTAGTTGTTCTTATGTGCCATCAAATTGAATACAAAGCATAGCAATTCTATGAATAGAAGATCAGAACCCTCCCATATCCTGCACTATCCTCATTATCTCTGACACACTACAGCCCATTGTTACAGATGCTGTAAAGATCCTCTCTTTCTCTGATGTCTTTTTCCAAAAACATAACCCTGTCCAAAGTACATGAGACAAAGTTTGACCTCCCCTCTCTCTAAGGAGCACCTTGTTGCACTTCCTTCAGAACTGACTTTTTGTTCTTTTGGCAATCCATAGGATATTCTGTACTCTTTTCCAATACCACCAAATGCACTGATTCTTCTGCCATCCAACTTTCTTTTTTTTTCTATAATTATATTTTATTAATTTTCATAAACATTTACAGAGATTTTGGGTTTCCATTCATTCATTGTTGCACTATTCTCTCTACCCTCCTCCCAGTTTGTTCTTGTCCAAATGCCACAGTGCTTGTCAAAGCCAGTTCTGATTAATCTTCTTTGTCAGTGTGTCCTTTACCATTCCCTATCACTCCTCCCTGAGAGAGACTTCACCCTGAGTCATAAGGAAAAGGGGATGGCGTATTCTCTTAGCTACTTCCTGCTGAAAAGGGACGCTGTGGGTTTCAGGGTGAAGATCTTCTCTCACTACTCTAAAGGGCCCCTTTGGCAGTAGGAAACACATAGACTATTATGGAGATTGATTTTGGAATTTAGATGCACTCTTATTGATTGTGCTTGGCCATACATGTTCATATCCTTGAAGATGTATCATGGGGGTGTTGCAACCTAGAAGACACAAATTTGACTAACAAGTTAGATAGCATCTCATGATGTCAATTTATGTGGCATCATGTAATATTTGTCCTTTTGTGACTGGGATATTTCACTCAGCATAATGTTCTCCAGAGTTAACCATTTTGAATAATATTGCATGAGTTCCTTGTTTTTTAATGCAGCATAGTATTCCATTGTGCGAATATACCACAGCTTCTCTAGCCATTCGTTTGTTGATGGGCACTTAGGTTGTTTCCAGCTCCTTGCTATTGTGAACAAAGCTGCAATAAACATGGGTGTGCATATATCTGCTTGGATGTCAGCTATGGTCTCTTCAGGGTATATTCCCAGTAGTGGAATTGCTGGGTCAAATGGTATCTCTATTTGCAACTTTTTGAGAAAGCGCCATACTGCTTTCCACAGGGGTTGCACCATTTTACACTCCCACCAACAGTGAATCAGGGTTCCAGTTTCTCCACAACCTCGCCAGCATTTGTTGCTTGCTGTTCTGTTAAATTTTGCTATTTTGACTGGGGTGAAATGATATCTCATAGTTGTTTTAATTTGCATCTCTCTTAGGGCTAGGGATTTTGAGCATTTCTTCATGTGCTTGTTAGCCATCTGAATGTCATCTTCGGTGAAGTGCCTGTTCATATCCTGTGCCCATTTTTCTATTGGATTCTTTACCTTTATCTTGTTGTGGTACTCAAGTATTTAATAAATTCTGGATATAAGTCCCTTATCTGATATGTTATTACCGAATAGTGGCTTCCCTTTTTACCCTACTGGAGAAGTTTTTGGATGTGCATAGGGATTTGAGTCTTAGAAGATCCCATTCATCTATGTTATCTTCTCCTGGTTATAGATTTTCCAGGGTACTGGGAAGACTGTTTATGTTGTGGATTAGGACTTCTAGTGTTGTTCCTCGCTTTTCTGTAATGAAGTTTATAGTCCTTGGTTTTAGTCCTAAGAAGCACATGAAAACATCATGGCGTGTGAATCAGGCAAATCCTAGTTTTAAATGGCTATCTTTGCTCTTTAGCATATTGGAGAAGTGACTTTCTCAATGCAACATGAATTTGATTTCTAGACTGCTACTACCGTGGGTGTTGATTGTGGATGCAAGTAAAATTAAATTGTTTACAACTTTAAGCTTTGCTTGAAGAAGTACCCTGATTGCACATTCTCTGGGAACAACCTGTTTTCTCTTTTAGTGGTGCTTGGGATATTCAGACTCTTCTCCAAGACCCCAACTCAAAGGCATTGATTGGTCTGTTACGATTATTCATTTCCAACTTTTGGATGCATAGGAAACAACTGGAAACAATATGGCTTGGAGCAGGAGGGCATTAGCCTGCAAAAGAACATCATTGCTCTTTCGCACTCTAGAGAGTCCTTGACAGCAGATTTCCCCAATGCAGGACGTCTTTTGATTTGACTGCTGGCACCATTGGTGTTGACTGTGGATCCAAGTAAAATTACATTGTTGACAACTTCGATCTTTTCTCTAAGTATCATGTATAGTGCGTATTGGTCCAGTGATGAAGATTTTTGTTTTCATGACATGATGTTGAGACCTATATTAAAAGCTGTAGTCTTTGATCTTCTGCAGTAAGTGCTTCAAGCCTTCTTTATTTTCTGTAAGCAAGGTTGTGTCAACTCCATAAAGTAGGTTGTTGATTCATTTTCCTATCCTGTTGCCACATTCTTTAACATATAGTCCAGCTTCCTGAATACACACAGATTGAATAGATATGGGAAAAGGATACAACCGTGATGCACACCTTTATCAATTTTAAACTAAGAAGTGCTCCCTGTTCTGCTCAGAAAATGGTTTCTTGTTCTATGTATAGTTTTTACATTAGCACAATTGAGTGTTCTGAGATTCCCAGTCTTCTCAATGTTAACCATCATTTGCTATGACACAGTTAAATGCCTCTGCATAATCAGTAAAACACTAGTAAACTTTTTTCTGTATTCTCTGCTTTTAGTCAAGATCAAATTGATATTAGCAATAATATTCCTGGTTCTACAGCCCCTTCTGCATCCACTTTGTAT